GCCATCTTGAAGAATGTAGAAGAAACTCCAATAAAGCGTGCATCAGAAGAATCCTGAGTGTTGCGTGTTCCTTGCTGGCGAGGTGCGCGCGACAATAGAGAACGATGAATTTGAGTCATTTGCAGGAAAATGAATGCACCTTGAGACCATCATACTAAGTCAAATTAATTAGTCATAAATGAGTACCACATGATTTCTCTTTATGCAAAAACCCTTGCATAAATAATTTAAAGAGTAAAATAAACTTTGTTAGTACAGAACATGGATGTAGTATTTTTGCAGAAGAGAGTGGGACATAGAGTAAGGGAAGGAAAGGTCATCCTGAATTAAATAAGATTAGTTACATACACAGGTACTAAGTCCCCATGAAGAATATATTCTTTCCATTCCACAAACAGGTACTAAGGAAAAACAGTACTCACTAAAAGAACAATGCTGTGCCATCAGCAAATGGAAGTCTGCCAGGGAGGGCAGTATAATACTTTTGAGTCATGGAATAAAGAAAAATCATGTTTACTCAGTACACTTCAAGGTTGAGAGTAGGCAAGTTTTTAAGAGATGCGTGACAGGTTGGGAGATTGGCGTTTTAAAGTGGGGTAGTATATGAGAAAAGGGTACTGGGTTGGCAAATGCAGACATCTGAAAAATGCATTTTTCATGTTGTCCTGATCTTTCTAGAGCTTCCAAGAATAGAAGCATTGTTACTAAAGTTGCATATAAAAAAGAATTGGAAAAATAATTTCTTTTTATCTCACTAATTGCCCTTTTGTGTTAGGTAAGGATATCTATATACATTATTTCTCTCAGACAGCATGTCCAGCACTCATGTGGAGAATAAATGAGTCTTGTATTTATTTTCACTCAGATTCTCATCCGTGCTAATGCAGCGCCTCCTGACTGCCAGGTTTGTGTGGGGCAGGCTTCTGTCAGCAGAGGTATTTGGGGGCTGAGAATTAAACAATTTGTCACCACACAAAGCGCTACTGAGTGAAGCTGAACATGAATGTGTTAAGATAAAAAAGTGAAAGGTCCTGAGTTTGGGTGCCTTCACACTTAACCCTGGTATTACAGAAAACTACAATCGAGAGCTGTCACAAGTGTGAGCGCAACAGTCTGCGCAGTGGTCTCTTCCTCCCCAATTCCCCCAACACATCGTGTAAGCGTAACATATCCTTCTAGGTCACAGCTAGGAACAAAGCACTCAGATCTACAAATTAGGAGAAGGAAACTCTGTCCTCTTGGAGTTTGCATTCTGGTCCAGTAGAGCTGTCACCAGCTTTCCCTACTCACGAAAAGTGTGACCAGAACAGAGCCACGCTCTGTGGTCACAGCATGTCTGTTGGGGATTCCACGCTACAAAGGTGGAGTTTAGTCACAACACAGATGTATGGCCAAAGCTCTGAAACTGTTTTACATCTGACCTTTAACAAGAAGAGTGTGTTGACTGCTGTTCTAGCACACGGTACGCATTTACCTTGGTCTCCTAACCCCATTGTCCACTGATCTGTAACCACTCTCAAGCCATCTCCAGTTCCATTTACTGCTTTACAACATGTGTCTGCATTAGCTCTTCATTACGCTGTAAAATTCCCATGAGCAACTTGTACTGCTATCACCTCCTTTTCCTTCCCTTCTCTAAACATGTGGCACACTGAGTATTTAATACCTGAAATGAAACTTACCATAAGAATCCCCATCACCTCTGTCTACTTGAGTAGATCACAGTCGTACTTGGCCTTTTTTACAGACAGGAAATGTCAATGCCATTGTTGAGCATGGCCCACCTCCCTACCCTCACTTCAACACCTCTTCATTTTCTTGCTTTGCACACTTGCTGCCCTCCTGTTCAAGGTGATGGGCTAATGCTCTCCTTTGAACGATTTATCCAAGACAAAAAACACTGCACAAAACACAGTCTCATTTTCTAAACCACCCATTACCCCCCATAATTTCTGAGAATAAGAGGACACGTGTGTGTCAATGGTCATTTTGTACCATAGCAGGCAGCTGTACTCATTCAAGTTTTACTGTATTTTTCTAAGTGAGAACTACTTTTCAGAAAACAATAAAAATGTGTTCAATAAAAAATGGAAGTCAGGAAGCAGGAAATAATTTATGGGAAAAAGCTATTTTCCACCTGGATAAAATGATTTTCATTCCCATTTGTTATTTCACATTCAAATCCTTTGTCATCAGTTCCTACTAGACTTGCCTGTCCCCTCTCTTCCCAAGGGAATATGACAGAAGCTCTGTGTAGAGAGAGGTGCAGCAACCAACATCTGAGCTGTAAAGGGGAGTAGGGTGGGGCAGAGGAGACATCAAGGCCAGGAAGAGCTTGTATTAGAGAGTCAGAAAATGGACCAAGCAGATTAGTAAAATATCTAGAATAAAGGAAGTCAAATTTTTCATTCTTTTTGAGGTTACACAAACTTGAAAATGTAGAAAGAATCAGAAGAACTGGTGAATTAAAGAAAAAGTCATGACTTTTATATGTATATGTATGCATGAATGTATATATTCAGGAATATGCATAAACCCTAATTTTGTCTATTGAGACAGACCAGATGTGATATATATGTATATATCATATATATATTTTGGGGGGTTTACCGGGGATCAAACTCAGGACCTTCATTACATATTTGCAATACATACTGGTTACATTCTTTGTGGAGAGTCATTACATGTACATAACATATCTCAATTTTTATCCCCTTTCCTCCCCTCCACACCTCTTCCTCTCTTGATTCCCTTTCCATTTGAGCAAATTCTATGTCCCTACATCCTATTATCTATCTTTTATTTTTCTCTTTATTATATTTTGTTTTTCCATATTATGAAAACCAATACTACTTAAGACGGTGTGTCTGATTTACTTCACTTAACATCGTGTTCTTCGCCATCAGTGACTCACGTTAATCCTTCTTTATGGCACAGCAGTATGTCACAGGGTACAAAGACCACATTTTTTCTTTCATTCATCTTTTGACATACATATGTATATTACTGTTTTAAATATTTCAACCATAAAATAAAAGTCATTCAATCACTTAACTCCTAAGTCAGCTAAAAGAATTGAAATCATGTGTGTGCATATTGTACCTATACACACAAATGCTCACAACACATCATTGGTTATACAGAAAACATATACGTCAGTGTCAGTCAACAATGCACTCTTTGAAAATATTGAAGCACATACCTTATATTCGATAGTACTTCTTTCTCCTCTTTTTTCCAACCAAGTAGAAGGTGACGCTTCACTTTTACATAATAGGAGATGTTATGAAAACTTAACACAGTCCCTTTGCTATGCATATTCAGCTCACCAGAGGACATTCCGGAGAGACCACTGGTGTTTCTTCGTGGCAGTGGGATATAAAATCGGTCATCACTGGAAGACATCTTGAGATTTCTCCTTTGCTTTAGAAAGAAGAGCAACAGTTAGATGAGAGGGCCACTAAAATTTTGTAAACCCTAGCTGGTACTTTTAAATGAATGTGTTTTAAACTACACTGTAATAAGTACATTCCTTACTGATGAGCAGCCTACAGAACTACTGTAGTGCCCATCATGGTAGGCAGAGATATCTTTGAATACATACAGTCCTACTGTCATATTCCCAAGGCATAATTGGACTGAATAATTAAATGAAATATTTTTAAAGCTATTGAAATGTATGAAGGGAGAAAACATTTTGTGAGGATTAGGATAATTGGCTTGAAAAGCATATAATGTTGCAGCTGATGTTAGGGGAAAGACTACATGAGCGTCATCATCAGACTGCCTGCATTTTGTTTTAATTCAGGAATTTATGATATTTTTTAGTACCAAAAGGGATTTAGCAAGTCATTCAAGAACAAAAGCAATCTGTCTGAATGCATACATCCTAACCTTATACTTGTAGGTACTACATGTCTCTAATCAGCTAACAAGGAAAATTCCAAAGTAAATATCTGAGCAAATAATTCAGCAATGACTCTCCTAGGAAGATGAAATTTGGACTTTCAGCTTTCTGAAAGAGTTAGAGTCCTGGAAACTCAAAGCTTTTGAGATCTGAAAGACTATTGCCTGGGAACATGGGCAGAATGAAAGCAGACCCACCTCTGCTTCAAGTGATTTGTTCAGTCTGTGCTAAAAGAAAGTTAATACATGATCAAGGAGGATACAGACATCCACACTTTCGATCTGAAATTGCCATGCATGCCAGAAAATAAGACTTAAATTTCCAATACTAAAAACAGAGAAATAGACCAAGTAGTAATCCAGACTGGAGTTATCAAGTGGTGACACAAAGAAAACTGACTAATACGTTCAAAAAAGCAAAGGAAAACAGATTATCACCTAACAAACAGGTTACTTTTTTAAATGAAATATGTGGACTTAGTAGCTTACACAGATAAGGAAGTAGAATCAGTAAATTTTATGAACGGTATACAGAAGACATCCAGGATGGAAACTCTAGCTGAGTGTGGGGCACACACCAATAATCCTGCTCCTTATTTACACTTTCATTTTCTCACATTAGAGAAACTATTCAGTATTTACACATATGTGTCCTATTTATTTCACTTAAGCATACCACCTCAATGTGCATCCATTGAGCTACAAATGTCTCTAGTTTCTCATTCTTTCTGGCTGAGTAGTACTCCATTTCATATATACATTTTAAAAAGCTAAAGTGTTTTCTTTATCCAGTTTCCTACAACAGTTATTTTAAAAACCCACTCGCTTTGAAAACTGGAAATGTAGGAAATCATGTAAAACTTGGCACCTAGAAAATTAAAAGTGGCTGAATTTTAATGTGCAATCACTATGGATGATAAAAATCACTCAAAATCCCATTCTGAAGAAGTTAAAATAGAACACACAAGCACTGTAAGAAGCTCAGGTCTTTATTTTAACAACCTTGTGAACCATCTCTCTATGTCTTCAGAAACCATACAGATGTTCATCTTTTAATGACCTTTCCGCTTGATGACTGTTTGGACTTCCAACTGGCCGCTGGGACTTGGGACCCATCTTTTTCACTTTGGACAGCTCTTTGTATCATGATTACAGAGCTTCAATGTCTTGTTTTGTGTGTGTACTACACCTTGTTATACAGTACTGTAATTTTTACTGATTATACTGTACAGCATTAGGTTTATGCTCTGTTATACACTATAGTACTGCATATAAGAGTTATGCAAATAAAAGCAAAGCTGTCATTGCCAGGCATGATAGTGTGTGCCTATAATCCCAGCACCGGGGAAGCTGAGCCAGGAGGATTGCTGCGATCTTGAGGCCCGCCTGAAATACACAGCAAGACCCTACCTCAAAAAAAACAAAAACAAAAACAAACAAAAGATATCAAAGTGGAGTTTTCTTTCCATTTCTTTGTAATGTACCTACTATATACAATCCATCACATAGCAACCACTTCATTTCACAACCTACTGGCAAGAGCAGAACTCGGTCAGTAAGAAAGCAATGACTGCAGAGCCACTTCCAGCACCAGCCGTCATCTCTCTGTCATGCCCACGTGATGTTCAGCACTAAGGGTATTTCTGCCTTCTCTCAAGACCAATTAACAGAACAGCAAACATACTGCTTTATTTTAAATGGAACTGAGATTTTTGTGAAGTTCTCTAAAAATGACAAGTAACAAATGGAACTAAAATGCACAAGAACATTCACCCATGTCTACCCTAGGCAGTGGGCTAGAACTTCTAAATACTGCCTTATCATTAGAAGGGTATGTATAGAGTTCACCTTCCCTGTGAGTGGATTAAGTTTGAAATTCACACTGCTGAGGACTTTGACTTGCTCCCCAGGGTTCAAACATCTTCCTCAGAGGGATTCAGAGGCCTAGGAACTCATGAGCCAAAAATGAGGTGATTAGATGGCTCTAATCAATGCGTATTGCTGAAGTATGGGATATTTTTAAAAAAGGAATGGAGGAAGTAAAGAAGGAAGAAGGAAGGAAAAAGGCAAACATGCAAGCAAACATTTGAAACACTAACATAGAACAATATGTGGTTAGACCTCTCCATATTGGTGAATGATGTAAAGATATTTGTGTCCCATGTAAATGCTCACCAAAAGTTGATCTCAGCAGAAGAGGACATTAATAATTAACAATTAATTGGATAAGATGACCCGTTCTATGAATAGCAGTCAACCTTTTTCTTTAGCCAAACCTGTCACTGCCTAATGGACTCCTGAACAACACGCCCATTGTGACAAGGATGGAGGTTAAGGATGGGCTCAGAAAGAGGGGCTTCCACTCATGAAGGCTGATGTGGCTACAGCAACTGCTGAATGCCCAAGATGCCAGCAGCACAGACCAACACTGAGCCTCTTATAGGCACCATTCCCAAACATGTTCAGCCTGTGACCTGGGGGCAGATTGACTATATAGGACTGCTTTCATCATGGAAAGGGCAGAGCTTTGTCCTTACTAGTATGGACACTTATTCTGGGCATGGATTTGTCTTCCCTGCATATAATTCTGCAAAAACCACCACCCACAAACTTACAGGATGTCTTTTCCACCATCATGGTATTCCATACAACATTGCTTCTGACCAAAGAACATACTTCACAGCCAATGAAGTTAAGCAATGGACTCATGCTTGGAGAATTCACTACTCTTATGAGGTTCCTCACCATGCAGAAGCAGCTGGATGGGCAAATAGGAGGAATGGCCTTTTGAAGGTGCAGTTACAGTGCCAGCTAAATGGAAATATCTTGCAAGGCAGGGGCAAGATTCTTCAAATGGCTGTGTATGCTTTGAATCAGCATCCACCATAGGGTATTGTGTCTCCCATAGCCAGAATTCACAGGTCCAGGAATCAAGGGCTCGAAGAGGGATTGGAATCACTCAGCATTACCACTAGTGACCCACTAGCAATGTTCCTACTTCCTTTTCCCATGACCTTATGCTCTGCTGGCCTAGAAGTTTCAGTTCCAGATGGGAGAAAGCTTGTACCAGGAAACATAATGGTTCCATTGAGGTAGATGCTAAGACTTCCCTCTGGTCACTTTGGGCTCTTGGTGCCTCTGAGTGAACAAGAAAAAAAGGGAGTGATGATGTTGGTAGTGGTGATTAATCCAGACTAACAATTGAAACTTGGGCAATCACTCCACAATAAAGGAAAAGAAGAATATATATGGAGTATAGGAGACCCCTTAGGTTTCCTCCTAGCATTACAATGCTCTGTTATTAAAGCCAATGGGAAACTGTAACAACCCAATTCAGGTAGGATAATAAATGACCCACCAACTTTCAGGACTGAAATTATGGGTCACCCTCCCCCCCCCAAGGAAAAACAAAAGACTGGCTGAGGTGCTTGGTAAAAGCCAAGGGAATACAGATGGGTAATTTTTTTTTTTTTTTACTGGGGATCGAACTTGGGTCCTTGCACTTGTGAGGCAGGCCACCAAACCACTAAGCTAAATCCCCAGCCCTACAGATGGGTAATTGAAGAAGATAGTGGTAAATATCATCTACGACCATATGACCAGTTACAGAAAAGAGGATTGTAATTGTACTTTCTTATTTTGTTAATATGCTTCCTTTGTACCATAATGTTGATAGACTTAATATTGGTTCTTAAGCATTCTGAAATGTTAGGAATGAGCATCGCCCTAAGAAAATTTTGCTTCTTTATGCCTTATATCTAGATGTCCCCGCCAAACCTCATGCAGTAATAGATGGGGGAGTTTCAAAGGTGGCTGGATTTGGTTTGACTGTGAATTAAAGGTACTGGGGTTAAGGATGTGGATAATAGTAGCTCCACTCTGGGCATGGGTGATCGATAGGCAGTGCCTTGGACGGAATATAAAGGGACAGAAATAAAGCATCCTTGCTGCTGTTGCTTGCTGCCTTCTGCCTGCCCTGCAATACCATGAACTGTTTCTCTTCTGTGATGCCCCTCTACCATGACATCATGCCTTGGAGCCAACTGACTATGAACTGAAATCTCTACAAACTATGAACTATGAACTGAAATTGACCTTTAACCCTTTAGATTTGAGTGTTGAGTATTTTGTCTCAGCAACAAGAAAAGTAACTCAGATACCTTCCATTATGGGGAAGGGATCAGTGCATTTCCCTTTGTACATAGAATAGTTATAGCATGTTATGTGTAATCATGAACTTTATATTATATCTGGAGTCAGAGTATGTTTTAAAGAAATGTATCTAGTTGCTAAGTTGATATAGAGTGGATTGGGATAGGTAACTATGCAGTCAACTTCAATAACCAATGACTAGCAGATTGGTTTGGTGTAGTTCTGAGTATGTCTAGATGACAGACTTGCTAAAGCAAGAAGACCCATACTGCATGTGGGAAGCACCAATCAAAATGCTTATAGCCTGGATGGGAATAAAAAGGGGAAAGAAGAAGGAAATCTCGCTC